ACACAGTTGCAACCCATGTTGTTTGAGAGTCCGTCGTATCCAGGTTCTTTTCTCTTAGCTTCATGTAAAGTAGAACATGAAGAAGAATGTGGAAATAGTAGAACACTTTGAGGAGGTGGTTTTGTGGAACTAATATAATTGATCATTAGAGTCTACTTTATTCATTAGAAAGAGTCCACTTTATTCAAGTAGAGTGGTCCTGAGTCCATACTCTGAAGCTGACTGGCCGCTCTGAATTTCACTTCTGCCCCTGCTGACCAGTATCTACCAGTAAGGTTGGTGGGTAGATAAATGAATTAATAAAGGCAAAGCACATAGAACAGTGTGTGATACTTTGTGTTGTATTCATATAGTTATATTTTTATTAGTGTCATTTTCTCCACAGCACTGGCTCAGGAATTAATGACCTGTGTCACCGAAATGTCTCTGGGTTTTAGGTCTTTGATGATGTAAAGTGATTGGGGTTCTTTATGACCTTGATTTTAAGAGGGGATGTGACAGTCTGGACTAGAGAGTACAGAGAGTGGTACCATTAGTACATTTTACCTCCTTCATTTTGTTAGGATTTTTGTCCTTGCAGTTAAGTAATACGTTAAAACATATTTTTAAATTTAAGTATTTAAAAAATACTGGTTTATAGATAGCGGTAGAGCACAGTCCTCTGAAGCAGTTGGTTTTAATTTTTAGGAAAATACCATTTGCTTTCCTTTGGGAACCTAGTCTTCCTTCCTGTAGGCCCCAGGAAAGGCAGGAGGGCTTGAATTTGCCTGTGTTCCTTTGCAGTAAGGCCAGCCTCCTTCCCAGTACCCAGCCTGAGTCGTGCACTGAGGCAGGCTTCCACCCAGGCTCTTTCCTGTCCTGCTGTTCCCTTGACTTCAGCCCAGCACGACTTCATTTTCTTCTCTCCCCACAGATGCCTCCAGCTCTTGTCCTTGCTTCCTTGCTTCCTCCTCTCGTGTGGTTCTGAGCTTTCCGGAGCTGTGCCTTCTCATTTCCTTTGTCGCTCCTCTCTTTCCAGCTACATTGTGGGCAGAGCTGGGCGGTTCTTCTTGTCACTGTCATGCTGACCGGCTTGTGCGTTTTGTGTGCTTGCCCAAGTCAAGAGGTGTAGTCATGACTAAAGCTAGATGGTGCCTCTGGGTGTCTGGGGGATGCCCTCCTCACCTCTGAACACGCACGGCTGCGTGCAGTGAGCGCCTCCTCGAAGGTACTTTTTCTACATTTTACCCAACTCAATGATTTTTCCCCATTTTAAGAGATTTGTTTCATCCTACAGGACAACCCAACAGATTTGCTGAAACATTTCCTGAAACATGCTGTTTGCCTTAGATAGATGGATCATTTTCTTTTGTGACTATGGATCAGTTAATAAACTCGATTGCATTTGTACTTCACACGTGAATATAGATGTTGTGCGATGAAGAGTTCAGTAGTGTCACATTGGTGTTTTCTTTTTTTAAGATTTTATTTATTTATTTGACAGAGAGACATCATAAGTAGGCAGAGAGGCAGGCGGGGGGCGGGGGGGGGAAGCAGGCCCCCATGCTGAGTGGAGAGCCCGATGCGGGACTTGATCCCAGGACCCTGAGACCATGAGCCAAAGGAAGAGGTTTAACCCACTGAGTCACCCAGGCGCCCTTTTATTTTCCCTTTTTTCCCTTTTTAACCTTAGTATTTCTCAGAAGAGTGATGTATGCCTCTGTGGTCTTTATGGGAAGTTTTGCTCTTCTACATATTTGGAACTGCTGCCTCCCAGATGGTTTCTTCGCCTTGCAGATAACAGATTGTTTGCTGCCTTTCCTTGTTCTCTCTGTGTCTCTTTCACGTCTTTTCCTGTGTCCTTTGGTGGCACCTGTCACTAGCAGGCAGCTTTCCCTCTGAATCTTAGCAAGGTGGTTCTTTCCCGCCTGCCCCAGGATGGAATATGAAGGAGAAAATCTTCATCAGCATTTCCTAAATGTGCCCTGTAGTGGAAGCCCTCAAATCCAGTGTGACCTGTCCTCGTGATGAAGGTTGGATCTCTGAACTCGTTCAAGCTTGGTGTCCTTAAAAATGATTTATGCTTGTAAACGTTATAGTCTCTTAAAATATACATGTTAGTTCTGTAGCCTTTTTCTGGTAAGCTTTTAGTGTTGGTCTGGTGACGAGAATTCTCTCCGTTTTCTTTCCTAAGGCACAGTTGTGCCTTGTCTTGAGTGCAGCCTTGGTTTCTTTAAAGTGGAGGGAGAACGGAGATGCACACGAAGTATTCTGACTGTGGAGGACACTATTCCCCATTGGTGAGTGCACCCGATCTCTGGCCTTTCCTCCCTCCGCAGAGGTGAGGGGTGCAGTGGAACTGAAAGTTTCCACCCTCTAAGCATGGTGTGGTTTTTCCAGTAGCTGGCCCGCATCGGGAAGTGTAGACACACTCCCTGACCGGGAGATTCCAGGGGTTTTAGGAGCTCTGTGCCTGGAGCCAGGGCAAAGACCAGATAATTTTTATGACAACACAGATGTCTGTCTAGTGAGGAGAGGTCCTCAGATGTTGTGGAATGGAATTGGAAGGACTTGGCTTGCATTCATCACTGAGGACCCCAGCGGGTGGTGCCGTTGCTTCTTGTCTGGGCCTTGCTGTGGCTTGTAGGACGACAGTTATTCGGGCATGACCTGTCCCTCACAGCTTGCCACACAGCGTGTTACTTTTTCTTCTCTTTAATCTCGGCTTTTCTTTGTGCTTCTTGGCTTTGCTTAGATTTGGGTCTGTATTTTTAGTATCTCATTTTGAAGATTTTTTTTTTTTTAAAGATTTTATTTATTTATTTGACAGAGAGAGATCACCAGTAGGCAGAGAGGCAGACAGAGAGAGAGAGAGAGAGAGGAGGAAGCAGGCCCCCTGCCGAGCAGAGAGCCTGATGCGGAGCTTGATCCCAGGACCCTGAGATCATACCTGAGCCAAAGGCAGAGGCTTAACCCACTGAGCCACACAGGTGCCCGATTTCTTTTCATCTTCATTAGAAAACTAGTCAACTAATTTTGGCATTTGTGTCCTCTCTTGGCTGCTTGGATATGTCTGTCTTTGTTTCTGTGGTGATAGCTTTCCCCGGGCAATGGAAGTGACCAGACACTTGATTGCTACGTAGCTTGTATCTATCTTGATTAATCAAGGGTGAGTTGAAGCTGTTGAGTTAACTGTGTACTTCACTGTGTGGAATGTCTCGAGCTGCCCACTCCAGTGCAATGGTGGAGAAAAATGGAGGAAACAGTGGGGACATTGTGTCGAACTCTCTTGGTTTTAGATTTCCTATGTATATTAAAAAGGGTTTTGTTTTGTTTTGTTTTTAGTCATGGAATGACTTAATTTACAGCAAATGGGGGTTTGTTGCTTTGGCTTCTGTGATCCCATTGCGACTTATGGAGGAGAAACTGAATTATGAATTTAGGAAACGTGTGTCCAAAATACTAATTTTTTTGAAAACTGGAAAATACTGTTTTGTTATTTACAATTATTAGTAGATTTCTTGGATTATTTGCTGTAAGGGGCACTTTGCCTTAGCTTTTTTCATGTAATCTTTGTGTGAGGTCCTGAAAATGCTGTCACTTCACAAATATTTCTGTTGTGAGTGATGAAGATTTCAACTTCTGTGCTGACAAATGCTCTTTAATCAGGTGTTTAGAAATCACGCCTTTGTCATTAACTTGCTTTTATTCCCAGGACTAGTGTACCAAGAAATTTCAGTGCAACATGAAAATTTAGACAGTACCACTCTATTTCAGTGTTTGTGCTATACATACATTGTTATGAGTTAGTTTTTGTAAAGTTTCTCTGATGGAAAATTAGAAATAATGATGACCTCACTGTTCTGAAGTGACTGTTGTCACTCAGTCCTGTGACCCCTGTGGGTCTTGCCCTGATCATCTGTCATCAAGTCATGTGACGAGTAAACCACAGGCTGTTGAGGGATGGGGCAGGAGTGTAAGAGGGGAGGGCCTGAAAGGGATTTTTTGCTTTTGAGGGTATTGGCCAAGAACTGTCGTGATTAGCGGTTTAAAATCTTTGAGACTAAAATTGATAGGTGAGCAGTGCTTTTGTTAAGGATGAGGTTGGATGAGCTACTTAGGGGCATCTCCATTAACTTCTCTTTAAGCGTCAGATGTGTATCTTTTCATCTGTTGCTCACTCTTGGAATTTGACTCTAAAAAATAAGATATGGTATGAAGTAATAAAATTCAAATCAGTCTTTTTTCCCCCAGTAGTATTATAGAATATTTAAAAGATGAACCTAGTACTTAATATGTAATTCAGATCATCTCTACATTTTATTTCTGTATGTATCTCAGTCTTACTTGGTAACAGATAATTGAAACAAAGCTGAGATTTAAAGATTCTATCATGGAAATAGTCTTTCTGTTAATATTTGTCTATGAAGTTTAGAATTAAAAATCTAGAAGGATCTTTAAAAATTATCTCACTTTTACATGAAGAAATTGAGGACATAGTCTGTCGTCTTCCCAAATGGAAACAGGGCCTTAGTCTCATTGCCATTCACTGATTGTTGGTGGCCTCTCCGTATTTCAAGGGGCAAATAGAGCTTATCAGAATTTGTTTTGTAGACCTTGAAGCAAGCCTGATGGTAAAACTAATCTTGCCAGTAAAGAGTGGGTAATCACAGGTCATCAGTATTATAAGCAGATGTCCAGTTGAACAAATGGTGGTTAATTTATACTTGCAGTTGTATTCAGTTTCATGAGCATGTTAGATACTCAGCGTATTTGATGAGAAAACCATTCTTGTGTTGCTTGTCTCTGCTGTTTGTGGACCCGGACCTCCTCCGGTCCCTCACCACACTTAAGTTTTTGGTCTCTTCTCCGCATCAGATTCTGCTCATAATGGCCAGAAGCCACTGTCTTTCTTGTTCTAGTACCCAGGAAAGCACTGATTGTTTGCTAACTCTGCATAGCTGTATGGGAAACTTAGCATATTTCAAATATCTTAAGTTTGCATATTTTATTTTTCACAGTGAACAGAGTATCTGTCAGGCAAGAGCTGCTGTTATGGTGTACGATGACGCCAACAAGAAGTGGGTACCAGCTGGTGGCTCCACTGGGTTCAGCAGAGTTCACATCTATCACCACACAGGCAACAACACGTTCCGAGTGGTGGGCAGGAAGATTCAGGACCATCAGGTAAGTGTCTGTTAATTAAATTCTTGCTGCAAGTTGTCTTGAATTATAAAAGGACTTGTGAAATAGTGAGCTGCAGTAGTGCTTTGCCAGTGCAGTCAGCACGTTCTGTGTGGGAGAACCGGGTACCGGTCTTCCTTCCCATTGTTTCCCCCTTTTAGGAGCCATGCATTTGGGTGAGGATTTAGAGCTAATTGCCCAAAAATACAAATACAACTTTAAATTATGAACATGTGTCAGGTCTTTTGGACTTCCAATTAACTAGGTTTGGGAATCTGGAATAAATTTAGGACAAACAAAAATGTGAAATACGATTTAAGGAGCAGATTGTATGTTTAAGGAATTGATTTCCTGCCGAAGGTGTGGGGCTAGAGGGAAGAGTTGAAAGTGTACATAGTTTCAGAAAGTACTGTTGAACTCATGTGTGATAGAAAAATTGTAGGTGTCAAGGTTTTTGGGAGAGTTAGGCTTTTGCGACGCATATCTGGGATGAAAACTAAACTTCTATCTATTTCCCGCCCTGGATTTCTCAGAAGGATGACGGAATTTATCAGATGACTTGATTTCTTGACCAGGAGCAGTAGATAGAGGAAAATGTAGATGGAGTCTTACTAGCATTAAGTATATGCTAATAGCAGCAAGAACTTCTCTAAAGGACAGCTTTACGAAATACTTTGGTTCCACTAAGATGGTGGAATCAACCAGGGTTAGCCACATGCAGGAAAAGTGGACCAGATTTCCAGCTGAGTCCTTAACCAAAGACAGGTCCCTAGGTTTCCACTAGGACGCCCTGAGGTGTGGTGTGTAGCAGGATGCTGCAGCAGTCCTGTGTTATAGGGTGGTGGTTACAAACTGCGAATACCAGGGACTTAGGTTCGTCATGGTTGCACACAGTGGCTGTGGGCTTGTGAGCGGTCGGGCTCTGAGACCACAGTTTGGGGTGCAGGGCGGGGCTGCATGCCAGCCTGCACACTGTCAGCCTGGGATGCAAATGTGTTTGTGGCTTTCTGAAAGATGGGATCCTCCAGCTTCACTTACACAGCCATGGTCCGGAGATTAACAGACACTGGTGACCCTCCTGGGACACCCCGCAGAAATGCGTGCAGTAAGGAGTCGGCCTGCGGATAGAGCAGTTCCCCCACTTAATGCAAACTGCCCAGCCTGCCCCCCTTCCTGCCTTCGCAGGGTCCTTTCTCCCTCTTTTGGCCCCCCTGGACCCCACCCTACCCTGTTCTTTCCCTCCTCGGTCTCCCCCTCCCGCTCTCCGCCCCATTGTGCGGCTCTTCTCTGGTCCCCAGTCTGCGTACCAGGAAACTTCGCTGCTGGTGGGGAACCCAGGTACTGCCGGGGGCTCTCCCTCCAGCACAGTGGCCCCGTGTGGGTCAGGCCCGAGACAAAGCAGACACTCCTGAAGAAGCTGTTACAGAGGAGAAAGTGAACTTGCTAGAAATGGCTTAGCATTTTTAATACAACATGTCAAACGAGTATGACATTTTTGGTAAATTGAATGAATTGATCATTTCATAGTACTGATGAACAACCCTAAAATATCTAAAAGCTGGCAGAAAAGAAAATGACTATTTAAAAATAGTTCGATTGAATCATGTTGTACACCTGGATATTATTATGTTATATAAATATGTATCAGTTATGCCTGAATGAGTGAAAAAATTTAGAAATATGTCAGGAAAATTTCATATGAAACACTGACATTTTTATTCATAAGTAAACTATCACTTCTAGGTTTTGACAAATGGAATGTTTCTTAGAATGTTGGAGATTTAAAAAAACTTCTTAGTAATTTGTGACACTAAGATGAAATAATTATGAAGATAAAAAATGTTTAGAAAAGACTTTGGAGTGACAGGATGTTACATCTAGAAACCAGTAAAACGTCTAAGCTGTCCTTTGATGGACAAACCCAAAGAAAGCAGGAGGAAATACTAAAAATAAAAGGAGATGTTAAATAAAAAAGAAATGGAAATTGACAACACAAAAGCTGTTTCATTGAATGGCAAAATTGGCAGAATCAAATGAAAAATTAAAAATAAACAGTATTAGGATTGAAAAAGGTTATTATAGTAAAGAAATCAATTACAATATTATGAACAGCTTTAGCCAAGAAATGGATCATCTTGTAGAAAAACATAATTTACCAGGGTTGGCAGAGAAATAGAAGACAGACCAACCATCATAAAATCTATCAGTAGTTAATAGGCTACCCCCAAAATCTAAAAACAAGGAGGGAGGGAATCCAGAGCTTCACAAACAAAATCTAAAAACCTTTAAGGTATTAACCTGTTTTATACAAACTGTTCTAAACAATAGTATTTTATGAGACTAGTATAATGTTGATATCTGCAACATAGAACAGTTTGAGAGAGGAAGATTATAGGCTAGCCTCAGTTATGAGCATTGACATAGATGTAAAAATCTTCCATAAGATATTAGCAGACCAAATGCAACAATGTATATGGAAAAATTATCACCTCTTGACCAAATAAGGCATGTCTTCATCTTGGTAATGTAAGGCTAGTTTAACATTGGATAATTTTTTAATGTAATTTGCCAGGAGAAAACCTACAAAAAAAGATTAAGAAAAAACATTTGATGAAATCCATACATAATAATTTCCAGCACCTTTGGCATAAAAATGAATTTTCTTTTTCTTTTTTAATATTTTATTTGACAGAGATCACAAGTAGGCAGAGAGGCAGGCAGAGAGAGAGGGAAGCAGGCTCCCTGCTGAGTAGAGAGCCCAATGTGGGACTTGATCCCAGGACTTGAGATCATGACCTGAGTATAAGGCAGAGGCTTAACCCACTGAGCCACCCAGGCGGCCCTAAAAATGTATTTTCTTAAGCTAATAATGACTCATAGTGTAAACATACATCCAACATCTTACAGGATAGTATCATGTTGGAGGGGATTACCATGAGACTCAGGAATTACTTGGGGATTTCAGCTTTATTCATTTGCATTTAGCAGTGCAGAGGGGGAGGTAACCTAGTGATAAGAAGAGGAAGGAATCCAAGCGGTACGAATTGGAAAGGAGAAAACAGAGCCGACCTTATTCCCCGGTGATACAGTTGTCTACATAAAAAATCCCAGGAGCATCTGCAGATGAGATAGGAGAACTAATAACATTGTCAAGTATGGTTGCTGGATAGAAGATCAGTTTATAAAGATCAGTAGCGCTTTTGTGTAAGTAGCAATAAACAATCTGAAAATACAGCTGACCCTTGAACAACATGGGGGTTGAGTTCACCACCTCCCATTCAGCTGAAAATCCCTGTGTAACCTTGCACTCCCCCAGAGCTTAACTGCTGATAGCCTGCAGTTCACCGGAAGCCTTGCCAATAACATAGTCAGTGGACACATGTTCTATATGTTATATGTGTTATGCATTGTATTCTTACAATAAAGTAAGCTGGAGAAAAGAAAATACCATTAAGAAAATCATAAGGAAGAGAACGTACATTTACAGCACTGGATTGTTTAAAAAAAAGTCCATGTGTAAGTGGACCCATGCAGTTTAAACCCGTGTTGTGTGGGGGTCAGCTATGTAATTTTATAAAGAAAAGATACTGCTAAATAACAAAAATGATAATGTACTTATTAAGAATAAATCTACTGAAGAATTGGCTTGCTTTCTTTCTTCTTTCTAGGGGTGGGAGGGCCAGGGGGAGAGAGAGAGAATCTGACAGGGGGTTTGAACCCACAACCCTGAGATGACCTGAGCTGTGAGGTCAAGATCAAGAGTCAGACATGCTTGGGGTGCCTGGGTGGCTCAGTTGGTTAAGCGTCTGCCTTCAGCTCAGGTCATGATCCCAGGGTCCTGGGATCGAGCCCTGCATTGGGCTCCCTGCTCAGCAGGAAGCCTGCTTCCCCCCTCCCCCCCCCCCCCCGCTTGTGTTCTCTCTCTCACTGTGTCTCTTTCTGTCAAATAAATAAATGAAATCTTTAAAAAAAAAAAAAAAGTCAGATGCTTAACCAGCTGAGCCACCCAGGTGCTCCTAATTGGTTTCCTTTAATTCCAGATCATCTTGTTATCCTTTTTTTTTTTTAAACATTTATTTATTTTGGGGGGGCGGGCAGAAAAAAAGGGACAGGCTCTCTGCTGAGATCATGACATGAGCCCAAACCAAGAGTCGCTGTGCTACCCAGGCACTGCCACCTTGTTACATTTTTTAATGGTTATTTGTTTTAAATGGAAACATCTTTTTATACTTTGTTAAATAATACCTAAATTTTCTGTAGTGAGAGCCATTAAAAAAAAAATCCCCCATTTATTCTTAAAATCGAATAGACACATAATACATTCATACATATTAAAATATGCTTAACACTTACTAAGCAGATACTATGTTCTAAGCACTGTGCTTAGGTTTGAAAGCAAGCTGCAGTAAAGAATGGGTTGTTTCAGTTATGGTACATGTAATTTGCAGCACAGTGAAGCATATAGACAGGAATGGTCATTTCGTTGAGAAGATGCGAAGGGAGGGTCATGAGCAACTTCATAGACGGGATGGGATACTGAGCCAAGAAGACAAGGAAGGGTAGATGCCCAGTGCATGGTTTGCTCTACTAAGATGTGGCTAGAAGTGGGGGAACATGTGGAAGATGGAGCATTAGCATTCATCTAGACTCAGACTCCCTGGGTGGGGGTATTGAGGGTGACCTCCCTAGTGGACCTGGAGCAAGCAGTTAGTCTTACATGAATACATCTGCTTTCCCTTTTACTACTTCTTTTTTTTTTTTGAAGGGCACTTGCCTGGCTCAGTAAAGTCTGCAACTCTTGATCTCAGCTTTGTGAGTTCAAGCCCCATGGTGGGCGTGGAGCCTACTTAATAAAATGTAAAAAATAACCAAAAAATTAAGTTTCTTGAGATTATGTACGCTACTGTCTATCCTTGAAAGTTAGAAAGGAATGAAGTAATTGAATCATGTTCAGTCTCTCCCAGTGGAGGAAGGGAACTAGTCATGTGCACAGTAGGATTTAAGTAGCATGTTCCTCCTCTTTTGTAACATTCTGTTGCTGAACAATTGAATAAGTGAACGTCGCTCTCTTTGCCCATCTTCTCAGACTATTTGCTTAGCAAGGGGATAGATCCACCTTAAAATGGGGCTTCTAGGGTGCCCAGGGGCTCAGTTGTTAATTGTCAGCCTTCAGCTCAGCTTGTGACCACGGGGTCCTGGGATCAAGCCCCTTAGCGAGGAGCCTGCTTTCCCTCTCTCCCCCACCCCCGCTTGTGTTCCTGCTCTCACTGTCTCTCTCTTGCTGTCAGATAAATAGTAATAAAAAAATTTTTTTTTTTTAAATGGGGCTTACGATTTTCTGATAATGATTTGTGGCCCCCGCCCCGGTACATACAAACATCACATGACAGAGGCCATCCTGTTTTAAATTGTAAAATAGAGTGGGAGATTGACCATTGTACCCGCGTCGGAGTGTAGAGTTTGGCGTGATGTTCACTCCTGTTGGCGTGCAGCCGTCAGCATTGTTTGTCTTCCTTCTGCGCTGAAACCGAACCTGTGAAACAGGCTCAGTTTGCCTTTCCTTAGTCCCTGGCAACCTTCAATCTACCTTTTTTCTCTTTTTTTAGTGAATTTGATTACTATAGGTATTTCAAATAAGTGGAGTCAGAAAATATTTGTCAGCTTGTGTTTGGCGTAATGTCTTTAGGCTGTCACCGTATTTAAAAATAACTTCCAGTTTGGGTATTGGTGGATGACGTAATACAGACAGAGCTTCTCTCTGAGAACCAGCACTATCGGACGGAATGATCCTAAGAAGAAAGTATTTGGAGAGCCTGCGTGACAGAAGAATTACGGGTCCGTGACCTGAAAGGAGAGAACCAGAGAAGTGCGCCCAGCTTTGGGCCTCTGTTTACCTAGAGGCGCGTCTCAGTTTTGAAAGAGGGACTGAGTGGAGCGTTCGGCTGACTTCTGGGACTAGCAGAACAAGCACTGGGAGTTAGAGCCTGCTCATGGCAGAGGACTTTCTTGCTAATCCCCGGGCCATGATTTGGGACCCTGAAGCCCCATCCCCTGGGAAGAGGTTTGCCTCCGAATGAGGCTGGTCTTTATGGGAACTGATACCCAGCCTCTAATCACGTCATTCACTTTGGGATTGACTTGATTTCAGATTGCTAGTTTCCCTAGCTGCTTGCCGGAAGCAAATGTGACTCTTCCTGGAAAAACAGAGCATCACTGTAGGCTTCACGATTTCCATATAGTTGTCCACACACAGCGTCTGGCGTGAGGAGGCGAGGCAAGTGGTAACAGAACAGACAGACCCACCAGGAATCCAGAATTGACTTTAGAGTAACTGTGCCCAGTATATTCTAGGAAGTGTCACGAGGGTGAGAATTTTAGCAGAGAATAGAAACTTGACAAAAGAACCGCATGGAAATTTCAGAATTGAAAGCTCGGTGCTGTTAACAGTTCAGTGGTGGGTTTTCCAGCCAACTAAAGAGAAGCAGTAAAGGGAATATAGGTCAGAAGAAAATATTCAGGGGCACCTGGGTGGCATGCTTGGCTCAGCTTGTGATCTGGAGGTTGTGAGCTGGAGCCCTGCATCAGGCTCTGTGCTGCAGGAGCCACCTGCTTAGGATTCGCTCTCTCCCTTTGCCCCCCACCCAAGAAAGAGGAAGAACATATTCAGACTGAAACTAAGAAATTCTGAGAGAGGAAAAATATGGACGCATAAAAAAACATAGGGAAACAAAAACTAACCCCAGAAGGTACATGCACCCAGATGTTTATTGCAGTAGTATTTACAGTAGCCAAAATGTGGAAGTAACAACCCAAGTGTTTGCTGACAGATGAGTGGATAAAGAAGATGTGGTGTGTGTACACAGTAGAGTATTACTCAGCCATAAGAGGAATATGAAACCCTGCCATTGGCAACAACACGGATGGATCTGGAGGTTATAACACTAAACAAAATAAAAGACAAATACTGTATATTTTCACTTACATGTGGAATCTATAAAACAAACCAAACAGAAATAGACTCATAAATCCAGAGAATAAATGGGGCATTGCTTAGGGAGGAGGGATTGGTGGGTGGTGGTGAAAGAGGTGAAGGGGGATTAAGAGAAAAAAGAGACATAGTGGGGGCGCCTGGGTGGCTTAGTTGGTTAGGCGACTGCTTTTGGCTCAGGTCGTGATCCTGGAGTCCTGGGATCAAGTCCTGCATCAGGCTCCCTGCCCGGCAGGGAGTCTGCTTCTCCCTCTGACCCTCCCCCATCTCATGTGTGCTTGTGCTCTCTCTCTCTCTCTCAAATAAATAAAATCTTTTAAAAAAGAGAGAGAGACATAGTGGACATAGTAAAAAGTATAATATATATGTAATTAGAGGCCCAGGGGAGAGGAGAGAATAGGGCAGAAGAAAAACTGAGGAGGTAATGAAAAAGAATTTTCAGAAATTAATAATAGAACATCCGCTTAGAAATGCTGTAAACCTGAAGTGAGATAGATACAGAGAAAACCATGTATAAACCCATCATACAAAATGATCATAAACTAAGTGCAGTGTGAGACCCGCGAGCGGCCAGTGGAGACGAAACAGCTTGAAGATACTGCCGCAGACAGCTGACTTCTCAGTAGAAGCATCAAAAACAAAGAAGGCAGTGGGTTTGAAAGAAAACAAGTGACCTATGTAATAAAAATCCTCTTCAAAAATGAAGGTGAATTAAAGACATTCTTTGACAAAAGGAGAGAATTTATCACGAGATCTGCATTGAAAGAAACTGAAATTCTGCAGTGTTGCAGAAACGATCAGAAATGGTCCCAACAGAAGCGTGGAAAGGGCAAAAGGAATAAAAAGTAGCAGCAGGTGTAAATATGGGCAAATCCCAGTGGTCATCTGTTTTATAAAAGTAACAGTGAGGTGCTGATGCTTGTCAGACTCTCTAAGGCAGTGAAAGCTTGTATAACTAGCAAGCTAGTAGAAGGGTATAATAAGAAATAGTAACACTCTAAAAGAAGGTGGGATGGATTTAGACCCAAATTCATGTGTAATTTACATGAAACTAATAAATGGACTGAACCCTCCAGTGAAAAGCAGAGAGAGGCAGATTGTGTAATCATGCAGAATTGATAGTCTGCATATAAAACTGTAGCTGCACACAGAGAATTGAGGCTAGCCACGGCAACAGCGAGGAACAATAGAGTGAGGATGACATACTCCAGTGGCAGCCAATGCTCAGGATAGAGCGACGTATTAAGACACTGATGCTAGCTCAAAGTTAGGCATATTGACCAGCAGAACAAAAACAGCCATCTAGACGCTTGATTTATGAAATGAGGAAGCCTGCAGCACAGTTAATAGATAGTGCTGGATTGATTGGATGGCCATATAGAAATGAAAAGGAAACTTGAGCCTTATTTCACACCAGAGGCTAAACTTTCCAGGTGGATTGGAGATGTAACTATGAAAGTAAAACAGTAAAGCTCCTAAAATAATGTGGGATAATATTTTCATGGTCTTGGAATTGAGAAGCACTTTTTAAACAAGTTAGAAAAAACATTAATCATGAAAGGAAAAGATTGCTACTTTGGACTTGAATAAAAGTTATGAACTTGGCATTCATCAGAAGACACTATTCAGGGAGTAACAAGACAGGCTGCACCCTGGGGGAAGCTTTTTGCAGCCTGGATTATCCAGGGTGGGGTCCCATCTAGAATGTATAAAGGACTCTTCAGATCAATAGAGAAAAAGATGGACAGCTCAGTAGAAAAATGGCAAGAGATGTAGTTTAAGCAGGTGTTCATAGAAGAGGGTAATCCATGTGGCTGTTAGAACACGAATCAGTACTATATCTTGTTAGTAATCAGGGATATGCAGATTGGAAGCAGGATGGTGTGGTATTCATACCTACCAGAAGTGCTCAGATAGAGACGGACCGTTCAGTTGTAATGTTGTGTGTGTGTTCACACAAGCTGTTGTACGCCGCCGTGGGAGCAGAGATTGATAGAACGGATCTGCAGGGCTGCTGGGAGCTGTCTGCTGAAGCTGAGCATGAGTTTGGCCATGACAGCGCCACTCCTGGGTATACGCCCAGCAGAAGGGGTGCCCATGGGTAGCAGAAGACATTTAGTAGGATGTTCATAACATCACTCATTTAATAGCCCCAAACTGCAAGTAATGCAAATGTTCATGAATGGGAGGATGGGGAAATAAGCGTGGTTGATAAGATGGAACACCGCAGAGAGTGATAAAGAAGAAACCAGAGATGGGGCGCCTCTGTGGCTCCGTTGGTGAAGCGCCTGCCTTTGGCTCACATCATCATCCCGGGGTCCTGGGATTGAGCCCCGCATCGGGCTCCCTCCTCAGTAGAGAATCTGCTTCTCCCTCTCCCTCTGCCTGCCTCTCTCCCTGCTTGTGCTGTCTCTCTCTATTAAATAAATAAAATCTTCAAAGGAAAAAAAAAAGAATAAATTGGAGCCGCATGCGACAGATAGCTGACTCCCGTAAACAGTCGTGAGGGACAGAGAGCAGGCATGTGACATATGTACCGCGTAGCTCTCCTTAAATAACTGCAGAAGCCTGCAAGACTGATCCTGTGAGCCTCGGACTGTGGCTAGTACCTTTGGGGAGGTGGACTTCTTACAAAGGCAGTTTCTGGTGTTAACATGCCTTTTTCTTGATCAGGGTCCTGGCTGCTTCACTGCTTATTTTTCACATGCTTTCTGAATGTATAATACTTAAATGAGCTTGTTAAAATGTATTTAATGAGGGTGTCGATTTTTTTTATTTTTTATTTTTTTCTTCTGCCGACTTACTATTTTAAGGCAGACCTTTGTAACGTCAGACAGCTTACCTTCTATCAGACTGTGATTTCTGTGGACTGATGTTACCTGAGAGAATGGTTTTTAACCTTTTTTTTTTTGCCACGGCCCACAAGGACCAGGTTTGAGTAAGAACACTCAGTCAGGGTCTGTTGATTCTGCTGAATATCAGGTTGACTCTGTGGGGCATCCGTATCTTTCAGGTGGTGATAAATTGTGCCATCCCTAAGGGGTTGAAGTACAATCAGGCTACGCAGACCTTCCACCAGTGGCGAGATGCTCGACAGGTGTACGGCCTCAACTTTGGCAGCAAGGAGGATGCCAATGTCTTCGCAAGTGCCATGATGCACGCCTTAGAGGTGTTGAATTCCCAGGAAACAGGTACGGTGTCCGGGTTTCCTTGTTTTCTCCAAGTGCCGTGTATATGTGTGTGTAAAATGTATTTGAAGTAATTCCCGAATTTCTGTTGTTCTCTACAGAAATGTAATTTTTGGCTTGTTGATGGTAAGCATATGGCCTAGAGGGATGATCTCATGATATTGGGTAGTCAGTCAATTTTTAACTCGCCTTCGAAGGTAGTTCTGCTCCTCTAGAACCTCAGCTTTTGTTGCGTGATGTGAGGCTCAGAGAACATGCAGTGGAGATAAATTATGTGTGTTTATCATCTCGCCCTTGTACGAAGAAACGCATGTTTTCTGAAACACGTTTTTTAAGTCACTGCTGAGCCTGTGAACTTCAAGTAGGACTGGATTTCCTTTCGTCCTCGTTCGTGAGAACTTGATTCTGAAAGTTGTTTAAAGATTTTAGGAGCGCCCTCAGGTGGTGCGAGCCTTGAATTGCCTCTCCTCTGACATGGCGTGGTGGTTAAAAAAAGAGAAGCAGAAACGATTCACTGTTTGAAAACGCAGGATTTAAATCTGTGTATGTATCAGAGATGAATTGTGTTTTAGTTTTAGTTCACAAAATTGAAAACGAATACGCCAGTGTGTGGTGAACTCTTTAGGGAGAGAGATTTTATATTCTAAAAATAAGTTCTATGTAAAATAATGTAAATGTGATCTCTCTTGCTTTTGTTGTGTGCTTAGTAGTGATGTTGAATATACAAATGTGCCTTAAGCAAAATGTATTTATATATTTTAAGAGGAGAGACAGATTCATTTTTGATACCTTGTTAAGGTGTAGAGTTTCAAAACCTGTTATTGATATGTTAAATTTTATTTATACCGTGTCTTATTCTACGAAGGGTTGAAACATCTAGCCTATGGCTTAGTCTATTTCAGATATGAATTACAGAGTAAGAAGACATATGGGAATCTTGCCCAAACCACCTTTTTATGCCTGTAGATGGTTTATACGAGCTCTTTTGAGGAAATGAAGATTTCTGTAAAGAATTGGTACATAGCTCTTATATCTTCTCTGTCTTGAGAAGCCTCAGGAGTTCCTGGTTCATCTGTAAGTGCAGAGCCTAGAGAAGCCCTGGGGTGTGCATGTCTCAGGTGTAGATTGTCTGAGTGCCCCTGTGCCCGTCTCTTGTCTGCCTTCTGCTCCAGGGGTAGAATGTCCCCTTGTTGTGGTCTCACTGTAGCAGAGAGACTAGAATTGTGGCTCCGTATTCTACAGGGAGGCCAGCTGCACACCAAATGATGAAAGGCCCAAAGTGTAGAGGGTGTATATATGACACTGACGTTTGGCTTCCCCATGTGTGAAACAAACTAGCATTTTTATTTCTGAACCTTCAAAAGAGTGTCCCTGGATGTTAGGAACTAAATGTTACTAAAGTGGTTAAAATGATTGTTTTTCATTTTGTCATCGGTTTGTTTTTACCCAATGGAAAGGATTGTTTTTATCCTGTGTAGTCTTGCAGTTTGCTTTCAGAATGCAAATGCTCTTGTTTTTCCTTCGGAGCTCCATCTTTTGGAATCAGTGAGTCTTAGTGTGGAGAAACGCTGTTACATTCTCTTGTAGTTTCCGCATTCTAGAAAGTTTGGCAAGTGGGGAAATCGCCCATCATCTCACTAGCCATGAGCATTTGGTAAGGCAGAAAAATGTAACAGATTCTTCTTAGATGATCTTGACATTTGTTCTCTTCCGTGTCACAGCCTAGGCCTGTCTTGTGCAGGCCGAGGGGAGGGGGATAGTGGTGGAACAGGTGGGCCTGGCTTAACCGGCTCCCTGCAGAGAGGATTTGGTTTCCTCAGAGAAAACAAAGCCTGGGAGAGGGTTTAGTTAGAAAATGACTTCTCATAAATTACTGTAGTATACTGATTTCTGATCTTTGATGGCATTAACTGACTTGGAAGTGGAGGCGCAGGAGGAGGCCGGCGCTGAGAGTCAGAAGGCTAGAGTCTTCTCTGTAGCTCTGCAGAGTAGGATACGTGTGTCTCCTGTCCCCAGGGTTATTTAGTGGGCCCGTCCCATCCACCTAAACAAACGTACCCAGTAATGTCACCTCTCATCTTGAGCGTGCCTTCCCCTTCCATAGCTGTTTGCTTCGGGCTCACAGCCAGCTCCTTACTGAAATCATCTTTTGTCTTCCTGCCAAAACCACGTTGGAAAAGCTTAACGTGTGTGTCCCCTCCCTAAGCAAACAATATACCCAGTGACCCTCTGATCAGAAGCAGCAGAAACAAACATTCCTAAAGTTGAAGTGACTGCAGACATCAGTCTTTCCTGCTGCTTAATGATTTGCCACATTGTAAAACCATTTTTCAATATTGAATAGTTCTGTTCATTTTGGTTTTTTTTTTTGTTTTTTTTTTAGCTGCTAATAGCAGTATTATCCATGAATGTTGGTTTATCCTTCTGAGTGATTTTTAGGTTTTTAAAGTGACGCGCACCTTTGTTCAGACAGAATCTTCTTGAGAACCTCAGCACCTTCACATGCAAAACCGTGGCGCCACTCTGACTGTTGGGGGCTCAGAGCCCAAGCCGCCCAGGCAGCACGCGGCTCTCCAGAGCAGGGGCTGAAGGTACTAGCCCGTCTCTTTTGCCAAAACCCATAATCACTTGGTTCTCCTTTTACCTCTCCCTTGTCCCTGAGTTCTCTAAACCCTCAAACATTTTTTAAATGAAGAAAAAAACTACTTTCTTTGGGGCTATTCATACTGACCTTCATAAGGTGCTCTGTGTGTGTGTGATATTTCCATCTCTTTTATGAAAAGGAGGGTGGCAGGAGTGTTTTCCTTTATTTTGTTTTTAACTTGGTGTGCAATTATCTAATATACTGGAAAGTACAGGAGGTGCTAAATACAGCTAGTTATATTTGGAATTTAAAACCACAAATCACATGTTCTAACGTTTTTGAAAAAGAGTTGAATTAGCCTTCCTTCTTCTGTACCAAATGCTACAGTGTATTTCTCCCCTTTCTCTAATGAGAGACTCGATTTTTAAACGCTTACATTCGGATGGCATTATCCAGACCAATATTTTTTATTTCTGTGTTGTTTGTCAAGTATATTTATAACAGTTTTGCAGATAAATAGTTGTGGATTATATAAAATGTAAAGTTAGTCTTGTGATGATTAGTGGAGGTAAATTTGCACAATTTTTTTTGAGAAAGGTTGAGGGTATTTGAAAATAGGAAATAATTTAAAAAATTCACTTTTTAAAAAGGAAAATTGTAAGCATAGCCAGTAAGTGTATTCGACTTTTGTTCTTCTTGACCAAGATTAAGCATACTTTTGTAGAGGGAAAACCTTAAAATATTTTACCATTAGCTAAGACTGCTTTTGCTAGATTTATTTTATAGCTGTAAGATATATTTTATAGCTTGAAGAAGAGAATACAATGCGATTCTCATGTTTAAATTTTTCTTCAGATTTAAAAAATATTTTTATATAGAGAGTCCATTAATTACTCTTACTGGAAATTTGGTCTGATATACCTTCAGTATGAGCATTTATATGAATTTTATCTCCGCATTTTTCAATCTTTTGGAGATATGTTTTAGAATTAATTGGATTTTAGAAATCTCAAAAAGTTCCTAGAAATATCTTAATAGTGACATTTATTTTTCAGGCCTGCAGATCGCATGTTTCATGGGACCAATACTAAGGTCCTATCACAGATGCCATCCAGTGTGCTCTGAGCTTAGGCCCTGTGCAGGCGTGGGGACTGGTGCTAATAGGCTGAGGCCTGTCCCTTGCCCTCCGGGCTTTCAGCAGGGCTGGGGCTACTGGAAACAAGATCAGCACATTAGGATACAGTGTGTGGGATGCCATGAGTGAGGTGTGCACCAAGGACTGGGGAGTACCGAAGAAAACTCCGGGGTCCAGGGGAGATTCGAACAGCAGATGATGCTGGAGGTATGATTTGAAGAATGTAGGCCTCAGCTGTGGTAGGAGAACATTCTAGATGCTCTGGGTGGGGGCATTGGGAAACAACCGAGAGGCAGTGTTGTGGCCTAGGTGTGAGAATTTACAGAGGAGAGAGATCTGAGAGAGAAAGCAGGGAAGGCGGGGAGGGGCCTGTGTCCCGCTGAGGGCTGTGCGTGGCAAGGCGCCGGATCTGCCGGGTCGGGGGGATGCCACCTGCGAGGGGGCCAGGAGCATGTTCTGTGAGCAGGTGTGTGCTCTAGCACGGACGTGGTAGGCTGGTTAGCAGGTTAGCATGCGCCCCAGGCCTGGCCTGGTTTAGGGTGTGCTGTGATGCCGCGGTTGAGAAAGGTGGCATCCTGAAACGGAGCCGTCACGGAGGAAGAGGACCAGAGAGACGAAGAGGTGATGCTTCTACTTCTGGCTGCTGTGTCCTCGAGGGTATTGTTGCATTTTGTCCATAAAGCCCGTCTGAGGCAGGAACGATGGTCTGTTTACTAGGTGCCTGCTGTATGCCTGGTCCTTCCTAGGCATGCATATCACTGATGGTCTTTATGATAACCCTGCAGCATTGGGAGTGTCTTCCTCTTGGAGAGAAGAGTGAAGCTTACAGACGGTCACGTGACCTGCCCTGGGGCCCACGGCTAGACCACTGCATAGGATCCCATTTAGGTGGGGGAACCTGTGGGGTTCAGTGGGTTAAGCGTCTGCCTTCGCTCAGGTCATGATCCTGGGGTGTTGGGATCGAGTCCTGCATTGGGCTGCTTGCTTGGCAGGGGAGCTTGCTTCTCCCTCTGCCTGTCTCTCCCCCTGCGTGTGCGTGTGTGCGTGCGCTCGCTCTCTCTCTCTCTCTGTCAAAAAATAAAATCTTAAAAAAAAAAAAAAAACACGTTTAGGATCTCTGTCGGTGACTTATGATGGGCAGGCCAGGAAGGAGGCAGGGGTGCTGTGAGGTGATTACAGACGTGTCTCTCCAGCCACCGAGCATCATCCAGGCCACTGGCAAAAATGGCGTTAGCCAGAGGAGGAGAGGGGCGGGTGTGGTTCTGGGCCCTGGGTCACGGGTTT